TAAGAATGTCGAGGGTCGGTTTGGACTCCAACGTCGAAAGTATCCGACGTGTTGATAAATATAGAGCTTGTAGAAGGGTTTTTTCACGCGGAGAATGGAATCGAGGCGCGGAACACGCCTTCGTCGCGAAAATTACAGTTTCAACGTCCATTCCATGGTGAATAATGCTTGTAAATAATGACAAAGTCCTGCGAACGAGATACTTTATTAGTTTGTATTGTCGTGGAAATCTTACAACGTGTAATGATCCGAGAATTTTTCCATAAATTTGATTCGTATCGCGTGAAATCGAACTTTCCGGAACTTACCATTGAATTATCGAATTGTGTATTTAATAAAATTGATTTTAAAATGATAGATTATAATTATTGGCTAATTTTATAGTCTTATTTCTTTTTATTTCTTTTTTATTTTATTTTTTTTTTTTTTTTAAGAAAAAAAAAAATTTCACTGAAAGTTCTCTTGTTCTCTGTTTTTTTTTTTTTTTAAGTAAGTAAAGTAAAGATATGAAATATTTATCTGTGATTCTTGAGCGTTATTTTAATGTTAAATTCAGAAAATTGGTAACCTTGACAATACGTTATCTCTGATTTGTAATGTTCTCGAAGGATTTTTAATGCATGGTAGTTGACATTGTTCGATAATCGAGTCATACGTGTTTCGTAATCGGAAGAAGTGATTCATGAGAAATGGTCCCTTGTTATAATGATTTATACGCTATGAATACACATTTTTGTTAATTTGTTTCTCATGTAATAGTAAAATATAAAAATTTTGAATGTTTTTATTTATATTGAAGAAAAATTAATCTCTTTATTATTTGAAATTACAGGAAGAAGTTACAAGCTACTAAATATTTTAAAAAAACTTATGATTTTTCATAAATTAATTTTATTATCAAATTTTTAAAAAATGAAAAATATAAATATTATGATCTATAAAATTCATAGAATAAATTTCTCTTTTTTTTTTTAATTCAAATATTTAAAAAAAAAAAAGACAAATTTTAATATATATTTCAAAAGAAAGTGATTAAAAAATTACTGTGAATACTATAGTTCAATGAAATCTATTCTCGAGACCAATTCGTAGAAATAGACTTTCATTGAGATAACAACTGGCAAGTCTTTGTCCATATTTAAATGCACATTAGTACCTACAATCACCTAATTACGTCTTGCATAAATTGCATAGGATGCATTTTACATTCTCTGTTTCCCACGTGCGCCATTTATTTTCATTCTGTGGAAGTTTTGTGCAAACCTATAGAATAATAAGAATATAGAGCAAAGTTTTTTCTTCTGAATTTCAATATATGTACTTCCTCTTTATATTTTAACATTTTAAAAATGTATTGAATAATGAAATGAAAATGTTATTAAGTTTTCTCAAAGTTTTTAAATATCTGGAAAAGAAATATATTGAAATATTTATACACTCATTAAATATATTTCATTAAATATAGAATATTGTACCATAATCTTTCAAAATTATTCTCTCAAGAGAAACAATATTTATATTTTTATTCCCCTATATATATATATATTAGAATATAATCGCAGAAATACATTAGCAATCAAAGCAGCAAATCAAAAGTCATCTCTATATATAATAATATCTATATATATTACTTTCCACGAGTGACAAGTATCGAATTGATTTTCTCTTTTTTCGCGACATCAGTTTGCGTCCGCCTTTTAAATATAATTTTCTTATCGAACCTGGTGAAAGGTATGAATAAAACATAAGCGTGGAGTGCATCGACTCTCGCATCAATCTCTCACGCCAAGCCGTGGAACTTCCGTGCGGAGAATAATTGGCACGGTATGCGCGGCCCGAGAGAGCTCTGAAAAAAGAAAGAAAAAAAAAACCGAGGTGATACTTAAGGAGCTGGATCACGTGGATTACGATTTTTCACGGCTCTCCAACAAACCGATATGAATTCTGGCGAAACGCCGTGAAATGAATCTTTACGGTAGTAGTAATACATAGGAATTGGTCACTAATGCGAGGTTCAGTGAAGGTTAGGTTAGGTTTCTAGTTTCTAATGTCGTGCGAATTTTATGGATCCTGGTTTGTTTACTCTACCTGGTTGATTCTAGTGCATTTCGTAATAATTTCGCTTGGGACAGGAATAGAATTTTAATTTTAGTTTCATGTTAGGTAGCTTTTGCAGCTGGTCGAAGTTCTTCGATTCTGTAGATATATTCTCATAGAGTTGAGAATTTTAATGGTTTAAGGTCATTGTACTGAAAATATATTTTCTTCGCCAGAAAAATTAAGTTTGTTCTTTATTTATATTATTATTTGTTTTTTTATAGTATATAAAAAAAGTATATAAAAACTAGGGAGATAAATTTTATGAATATAAGAATAATTATATAAATATATTAAATATCTATAATGTATAGATAAAGTATATATTTTCTACTTCTTTACAAACTTTTAGCAACTTTAAATTCTCTAGATTTTATCTTTCCCCCAGATTCTCATAGTTAAAGAAACAAATTAAAATATTATTTAAACGCAAAAATGTCATTATAGAGCATTTCTATTTACCATCTATCTAAAAATTTACTTATCCAGCTGCAACAACAAAGAATTACCATTAATCCATTAAGACCACTAGAAATCCCGTTAGGTTGGCAATACCAACGAACGAAAATCCTCTTATTCTCCTACTATGTCCCTTCTACAAAGCATTTAGCTCGCGTACTCAAGTGATTCATAAGCGACCGCTTCTCGTTGGCTTCTCAAGCGTCTCTCTTTCTGTTCCCGGCCACTCTCGAATTCCTTCGGCACGAGAAGGGCAAAGAAAAAGAGTTTTATCGAGCTGCAACGGCTAGAGCAACGTAGTGAGTCACTCTCGGTGACTGGCTCGTTGTAATTCATTGCGATGATTGAACCCCCACCAACTGTTCCTCGAGTACGGGTCCATTCACAACGAACGAACTCGGTGACCCTGGAACCAGCTGTTTTTCCTCGCTTGCACTTTCGATTGATCAGAAAGCTCGGTGGTAGTGATTGAGTTTCTTGTTTATTCATTTTTTCCCCCGTATGGGTGCAATTAAGGTGGCGGATTGAACGATTGAGTTGTTCAATGTGATTTAAAGATAAGTTTTTTTTTGTATAACATTATGGAATTTTATATAAACATTGTTTATATAATATAATTTATTGTAGAATGCTGAATAATGATTAATATATATAGATGAAAATATCATATCATAAGATGGAAATGGTATGTATATATTGGAATAACAAATTGAGTAATTAAGTTGTTCAATATGATAAATTGTTTATTTTAAGTTGTTCAATGTGAATGTAGTATAATGTTGTACTACATGAAAAGATGTTTAGATAGATGTGAGATATAGATAGTTATGTTTATAGAAAATGGAATTTAGTATATTTATTGACATAATAAAGAGATAATATTCATACAATAAGAATAATAAATTAAGTGTTCACTTGAAAAATGTTTATATATAAAGATTTTGAGAGATATAAGATATATTGGAAATGTTTGTAATTATATTATGTTGTAAAATATGAAGAAATATATTATATTTTTAATTTATTATATATTTATAAAATATATATAATATATTACATGGATGCAAAGATATTTCAATAATAATCTATATAATAAGTATAATATTAAATATTATATAATATGTTTAATATCATATATAAGAATGTGTTCCATATGTATCTATTATAATGATTATTAAAGGATCATTAAAGATGTCCTCATTTGTATGTTTGCTAATATAATAATAAAGGTATATAATAAAGGTATATTTCATGTAATATAAATATTATTTTAACATAGTAATATATTTTCTCTTACATTTACTATTATTATGCATGAAGAAATATAATGTTCTAACAAAGGTGTGTTACATACAATGTGCCTATTATTATAGAGTGTGAAAATTCGTTATACACACACATTTTTAATTTAATATATGGAAATGTGTGTCTTCTGTACAGTAAATATATTATTATACTATTATATATTACAGTATAATGAAATCTAAAAATAATTGATGAATTTTAATGAATTTCAGTCGAAGTTCCTCGTGGAAGAATAAATTATAGTTCTCTATATGAGAGAAGACTAAAGAAGTTGCGCAAATCTTAACGATTTACAATATTTTCTTATTTTCATTTCTTTTCTTTTTTTTTTTTTTTTTTTTTTTTTT